TTTTTTCACATATAAATGAGATCACACAGTTTTTGTCATTCTCTGTCCGATTTATTTCACTTACCATAATGCCTTCATGGTCCATTCATGTTATTACAAGTGGTAAGATTTCCTCATTTTTTGATTGGGTAATATTCCATTCTATATTTACACCACAGGTTCTTTATCCTTTCATCCATTGATGGACACTTGGATTGTTTTCCATGTCTTGGCTCTTGTAAATAATGCTGTTATGAACATGAGAGTACAGATATCTTTTCAAGTTAGTATCTTTATTTCCTTTGGATATGTTTTCAGAAGTGGAATTGCAGTATTATGGTAGTTCTATTTTTAATTCTTTGAGGATCCTTCATATTGTTTCCACACTGGCTATACCAATGTACAGTCCTGCCAACAGTGCACAAGGCTTCCCTTTTTGCCACATCCATACCAGCATTTGTTATCTCTTTTCTTTTTGATAATAGCCATTGCTACAAGTGCAAGGTGATATCTCATCCTGTGGGTTTTTGGTTTTTGTTTTGATGCTTTTGAGTTGTATGAGTTTTTAGTATATTTTGGAAATTAACTCCTTATCATGTATATGGTTTGCAATTTTTTTCCCATTCCATAGGGTGTTTTTTCACCTCATTTATCATTTCTTATGTTGTGCAAAAGCTTCTTTAGTTTGATGCAGTTTCACTTATTTTAAATTTTGTTGCTTGTGCTTTAGGGATTATATATATAAAAAAAAATGTTACCAACACTCATGTCAGGAGCCTTGATCCTATGTTTTCTTCTAGGAGTTTCATGGATTTAGGTCTTACATTTCAGTGTTTTATCCATTTTGAGTTAATTTTTGTGAGTGGTGTAAGAAATAGATCCAGTTTTATTCTTTTAGTTGTGAATATCAATTATCCTAGCACCACTTAATAAAGAGACTTTTTTCCCATTGAGTATTCTTGGTTCCCTTGTCAGATATTAATTAAGCATATATTTCTGGGCTCTCAGATCTGTTCCATTGGTCAATATGTCTGTGTTGATGCCAGTATCATACTGTTTTGATGACAATAACTTTATTGTATAGTTCAAAATCAGGAAGTGTGATGCCTCTGGCTTTTTTCTTTCTCAGAATTTATTTGGCTATTTGATGAGTAATACAATTTTAGAAATGATTTTTCTATTTCTGTAAAAAATGCTCTTGGAATCTTGATAGCGATTTCACTGAATCTATAGATGGCTTTTGGTAGTATGGACATTTTAACAATATTAGTTCTTCCAGTCCAGGAACACAGTATACTTGCATCTTCTTCAGTTTCTTTCATCACTGTCTTGTAGTTATGAGTAGACATATTTCACCTCCTTAGTTAAATTTATTCTTGATGTTTTATTGATTTTATGTTATTGTAAATTAGATCAATTTATTTTCATTTCTTTTTCAGAAAATTTGTTTTTAGTGTTGTAATTTTTAAAGGAGATTAGATGAAGTTTCTGTCTCTGAAAACAAGAGAGAAAGAAGAACAGAATGTGTTTGCCTTATTGTTACTTTTTGCCCCAGAGCCAAAATTACATTTTAAATATCTTAGCATTGCATATGACAAAGCTTGAAAACGTGATCTCAAATGGAGATGGGAGAACAGTATAAGGGAATGCCTCCAAATTATAGTTAATAATATAACATTCTGAGGTATATTTTATAGTTAATTTGAAAGAAAATTTTACCCTTATGAATCTAGAGAAGAAAAGAGACATTTAGGATGTGAAGGCTATCTTCAATTATCTGAAGACAAGTACCTTCTAGAAGTAGCTTGATGTGTTTTGCATGACTCATTTGAATAGAAATTAGACAAGTGAGTAGAGAATATCAGAGTATAGATATCACCTTTCTTGACATGAGAAAGAACTTGCCTCTTCAAATGCGATTGAGTATTTCAAGGACAGAATGATCACTGCCTCTTCATGTGAAACTTGGGAGATTTTTAGCCAGAATTCTCTAAGGGTTGTTATCTAGAATGTCAGCTGAATGCTTCTTTCCAGATTTGAGATTCCATGCTTCTAATGGAATAACAGACTTATAACTATGAAGTTTATCTTGAAGACTTATCTTTATAATAGTTTCAGGAAGAAAAATTAGATTTATATTTATAACTCAAATATATCTCCAGAAGTTATACAATATGTTAAGCATAACAAATACAATATTTTTAAACAAGAATTTAAATAAGGTTTTGGCTCTGTCCTAATTGCTCTTCTCCAGGTGGGCCATGTAATAGACCGTCCGCCTTTGCTGTCACTGATGACTCTGAATTCCTTTCACAGAGATGATGAATTTTAAGGAAAGTCTAATTTATAGACACATAAGATATTTCAGCTTCATAGAACACATTGGAGTCTAATTTCATTCAACTTAAGAGTGACGTCTGCTTAACTTCCTGGTATTTTGTATTCTTCAGTCTCACTTCATAAAATCATTTTATTCTCTAATCCATACCTACTCTTTAGGTCTCTAGACATTGCTTTCAAGTTCCACTTTGAGCACATTCTTATTTCTTGTTTAAAATGAGATTCTTTCATTTAATAAGGACACTATTATATTTTTCAGCTGATGGTGATTCTATTTTAAGTCAATAGTCATTATCTACTTACTCTAGAAATTGACCTTTTCTGAAGCTCAATTTCAGAAATAATCAACCTCTAGTTCAGTAGAGATCACTATTTCCGTTTTCCCCTATCTTGGAATATTCTTCTTTCCCAGGAGCATTATTCAGTATCCTAAACAGATGCTTGATTGTACCAAAACTAAACTTCTTATCCTGGTTTACAAAGCTCATCATCTGGCCGTTGCTTACCTCTCTAATCTTATTCTGGACCATTCTCTCAGCCTACTATACACAGCTTCATTAACCAATGTGCTATTTCTTGAACAAACCAGTTCCAGTTTGAGGCTTTTGCAGCAGCCTGGAGTGCTCTTTACTCCTGATTTTTATATGATTAGCAATTTGAGATCTCTGTTTAGATTTTACTCCCATAGATAAGTCTTTCATAAAAACCTAAACAGAGTAGTTGTTACATGTTTTATTTAAATTTTCTGTAGATTACTCATCTCTATATGGTATTTAAAATATATATTTTTTATCTATTTGTGTATTCTTTGTCTCTCACACCAGAATGAATGATTCATTAAAGCAGGTAGTGGTCTGTTTTACTCACTCAAATCTCCAGGGCCAAAAAAAGGACCTGACACATAACAAGAACTCAATAAATATTTGTTGAATAAATGGACAAATAAGCATATACTCCATCACTCCAAATGTCTTTATATGTTAACTTGGCTGAGGGTGAAATCTTTCATCTTTATTATAACTGAAGCTTGTAGGATGATATAGCTTTATAATATTTTGCTAATTTCCTTTCATAGAGTATTTATAAAGGTGTTAAGGAAAACATGCCTGTGTGTATTCATGTAAAAATTTATCGAAAAATAATCACATTGTCATTTTGGGCAATGAGGAGAGGGATATTTTAGAGGTCAAAAGATCATAAAAGATGTTACTGGATTTAGAAATTAAAGGAGGCAATTACTTTGAGATTTTTATTTTTACCAATTTTTTGGTCTTAAAACTTGTTTCCTTCTTTGGCATCTTTTTCATTCACACGAACTATCAAAATAACACTTAGATTAACTTTTGCTTAAATATTTTAATACTCATACCGTAAAATGAATTCAAATAAAAATGTTTCAGGGTGATGCCTTAGAGTTATAATCTAAACTTTTCATTATAAATGGATTGCTTGATAGATTTCTTAATAAAATTTATTTTTTGTTTTCCAAAAGGGCTTTTATTTCTTGTGATGTGGAAGAAAACATGTTTTCATTCTTAATATGCAAATATATTATATATCAAGAAATTGTAGCACCACTGTATAAACGTCCAGTGTTAGATGATTATAAAATTCTCCTGCATTATTAAATTTCTTAGTTTCTCTCCTTTCTATTGAATGGTAGCCATATAGCATTATTAGTGTGTTTTTAAATGTGCATGTTATAGTATGTTAAAAATAATTGTGTAAAGCAAAATCTTTTTCTTTGTAAACTATTTCCCTTTCTTTAACAAGGACATTTTCATTATCATTCCTATTTATTACGCTAGTTGCAATTAGTGTAGAGAAATGTATATCTCATGTACCAATTCACCAGAAAAAATCCTGTGCTTAAATAGTTCTGTTTTTCATAGCATATAATGTATGACTGTTTTGTGAATTATTAAAAAAATCATATGTATGTAATTTTATTTTTTCATTATTGTCTTGGTCTTTCATATTTATTCATTTATGTAATTTGTACCATTTGTCAGTAAAATCACTGTGTATATAAATGGCAAAATGTGTGTATATTCTTTTCACTTTAATGCTTATCACAGATATTAATAGTGTATCTTTCAAAAAATTGTTAAATGACCTGAAACATATAAATAAATTTAAAACAATCCATGTCAGTGTAACAATACAATAAACAAAACAAAACTACTTATAAAACACCTCTATGAAACTTTCTTGACCCATTACCTTATCAAGCTTTATGTGTGTAAATAATTAGTTCAGTAACCAATATTTTTATTTACACTTACAGATATTAGCGCCCATAATTTACATTAAAATTCTGTGAATCTATAAAAATATAAATAACATTTATATTTTTCAGATAGCTTTCTTGATTTCAATATTAGTCTAATTTTCTAATCATTGTTAGGGATTAGGATGAGCGTTCTTGCTTACTTAAGATAGTGTTTAAGCCAGATAGTGTTCAACTAATATAGCGTTTAACTGCACAGTCATTATCACACTAAGATCGGGGAGATAGGATCTCCTCAGCTCCAGGGTTGTCTGAGTGGGGTCTGGGGTGGCTGGAGTCGGGGCCTATGGCCTACAGCAGAGAGCAGCCTTGGGAATAGCCCCTAGCAGGGATCTTCTGAGGCCCGCCTGAACTGAGTGGAGTCTGATGGTGCGCCCTGCGGTCCCCGCAGGTGGCAAGCACAATGATCGACATCCAGCCCTTGCTGCTCCGCTGCGACATGCTGAGCGCAGCCCAGGAGGCGCTCTACCACCCAGGCATCTCCTTCAGCAGCCAGCCGCAGAGCGTGCCACTTCTCATCGTGGACAAGGGCCCCGTGGAGCTTCCAGAGGAGTTCGTGGTCCAGGTGCCCAAGGAGCCCAGATCACAGCCCAAGGTGCGGCTAGCGGTGGGGAAAGAGGGCTGGGGGTGGTTGGGCAGAGGTTCCTGGGAGGTTCAGCTCCAGACAGTGCCCCAAATGTGTCTTTTTATGTATTTGTTCTGCATCCACTCACATTAGCTGAGATTTGCACTTAGTTGTATCCTAGCCAGTTTAACAATGCATGATTGCTCTACGTGAAAGTCTCATAACTTCACAATGTTTGACTTTAAATTTCTGATTGGCTTTGAATTATCTTTGCATTATCACAGGATATTTAAAATTACTTTTAATGACAAATTCAACTCTTGTAAAATTTGAATGCTTGTAAAATACGTTTTAACATTTCTGATCATCTACTTGCTTGAAAAAAAATAAGTCTCACCAATGGAAACTACCAAAATTTGAGATTACATAATAAAAGTATCTTGGTTAGGAATTATAGTCGTTTAAGTATAAAACCTGGTAGAAAAGTGATGACTATAGAAACAACCTAATTTTTTTAATGAAAATGTTGGAAAGTACTTTATAATATTGTCTCTGCAGTTGGCAATTACGGTGAGTGACATCCAGCTCATAAAGTGAGGAATATTATATAATATTTGCACAAAATTCAATGCTATTATTTTCCACAATATTTTATATTTTATTTAATCTTTACATAATATTTGGACAAAGTAACTTTTATTTTTTCTCACTAAACTCTATACAGGCACTCCTATTCTTCTAATTCCCCCCAAGGAATATGATATATAATAATATAATATAATATAATATAATATAATATAATATAATATAATATAATATAATATAATATATAATAAATACAATATAATATAATACAATACATAGACATGTAATATGATATAATATATCCTATAATATTTAATATAATACTTATAATTCTTTTTGTGTGACACACATGAAAAAGGCTAGGAAGCATTTGGCTGGTGGAACCATATAAATACCAAATCTTGTCTCAAAACACAGTCACCTCTCCTACCTCATAATTTTGTAAAGAGGATGTACGTACAAGAAATACTGGCAAAGGAACATGAAATACAATATACTAGTTGAGCTTATCTTCTAAACTCCATTACAGAATTGTCTGATAAAATAAGTCAGAATACTTTGTTTCAGTTCAGGGTCTAAGGGATATACATCATAACTTCATTTGAGATTTAAGAGACCTATAAGAGTTAAACTTAGCTCTTCAACTATAGCAGCCACATAAAAAGGTTAAGTGTGTGGGTGATTTGGCACTCATAGTCACTCTGTCCACTCAGTCACATCATTCAGTCAATGGTCTTTCCATTTAGATAAACATTTCTTCCTTGTAGATGATGACTAGTGTGTGTGTTTGGGGGTGGTGGGGGGGGGATGAGGGGAAGATGAGTACATATACTTCCATAGAAGCATGCAGAATTGACTACAATATGTTCTGAAAATTCAAAGAAAATGCAAACATTCTTTAAGAAATTTATTTTTTACTTTCCCTGTTTCTGTTTTTATAATCATTTTAAACCTGAAATTCTCTAAATTGGTTGCAGTTATATTTTTTCCAGAATGTATTTCAATAGTCACAAAGTTTTCATTATGATGTTGGCTTTGATTTATATTATAAAATGATAATATAAAATTAATGTTAATTAATTTACTCCAATGCATATACATTCATTATAATTTCTAGTATTAATGAAGTAGAAATCCAGAAACAAATTTTAACTTTTGAGTAGATGTTATAAATTTTAAAATCAGTAGCTAACATAAATACATACACACACACACACACACACACACACACACACAGATATACATACATCTCTATCTGTTGGTAATTCTTTCTTTTGACAAAAATTTAGAATATTAGACAGAATAGTTTTTCCTATAGAACTTTACTAAAGAGTTGGCTGAATTTAAACATTCCTCAACTTTTAAAGCTTAATAAGATTTTTCTGCATTAGTAGCTTTTACTTTTTGCCATGTATGTGGCAAGTTACAGTATAGTAATGGATTATAAATTATGTTTTTCTATCAATTTATAAATGAGAAAATTATATTCTGTTTTGGACATAAATGGAAATGAGGGTACAAGGGAAACTTCATGTGATCTCATAAATGGAGATTGATATAAATGTCATGTGATTTAAAAGGAGCTAGTAGAATTGTGTTAATCTCTTATGACGAGACAGTACTTTTTGAAAGTTGTTTTGTGCAAAAATAATTTCATCAGTGAGACAGAGAACAACTGAAGGTCATCTTTGAGTGCTCCATATAGAAAGAACAAAGAAGAATAAGTAAATATTATAGGGGCAAATCTTTCCTGATACAGAAGATACTGCATACAGCTAGAGTGCTTGGGCAAGTATTAAAAATGAAATTGAAATAAGAGATACTGCAATACTTTGAGCTCTTCAAATTGAAAAAGAGTGGAAGAATGCAAACAAGAAAATGTCAGCGAACTGCAAAAAATCCCCCTCCATTTCTTAAAACAACAGCCTGTTTTAGAAACAGATACTTTAAGATACAGAACACTCAGAAATAAATATAAATAATAAAGATGGTTATTAATGCAATCTGACTGAAAAATAAAATTGATATTACTTTTTAAAAATGTTAACCCTTTTTTGTTCCATAGATAGCCAAACAAGCAAGTAGAAACCCAACAAAAATAGCAATAACAACATAACAAAACTTTTATTTGCTGAAATTAAACTTTGCCCTTTTTTTCCTTTACTTTCATTTGACTCCGGATAGCTAATAGTTGTTCTTGAGGGTTAATGACTGTTTGGATTCATAGGAATTAGGACTTCACAATAAAGCAGCAAAGCATAAAAAATTAAAAAAAAAAATGTTCTCAGAAGACATATTTCTTTTTAGCATATTAAGGCTGACAGAAGTCTGAAGGCAGATTGCCCAGTTAATGACTAGATATCAAGAGTTTTCCTTGAAGCTGAAGGAATGTTAATGTGTTTTTATCAGCACTTTCCTTTCTTCGTGATTTTCATGCAGATGTATAAAAAGTTCATTGAGATGTCTACAAATAACCCTTCTGCAAGCCACACATATAATGTCCAAGGTTCATACAAATGTCCTCTCAGAACACAGCAAAAACATTTCAAACCTGACGAGTCATAAACTCTACCTTTTGCAAGAGCCAAACTGCTTTACAAGGGGCTTTGGTACTCTATCAAACCCTTTGGAGAATCACAGCAAACTCTATCATCATTTTTTTTTTTTTGGATTTTACCCTATTTGGGGATTTTTATATTTATAGATGGGCATGCTTTTATGATAATTATAAGCAAGGAGAAAATGTAATTTGATTTTTTTCTTAAAAGTCAGCCTTTAAAATTAGTTTGAATTACTAAATATTGCAGGCGTCTTTATTTATTCTTGCCCTCACTTATTTTTTTCAACAACATTGGATTGAGTGCAAGTGCATGCTGGATACTGCACTAAGTGCCAGGAAAACAAAGATGGAGAATTCAAAAACTTCATTTCTCAGTCACTATTGGGAGACAAAAAGATGGTACATGCACACATGTTTGTGTGTGTGTTATGGACCTTGGATATCAGGAAATAATATTAGGGAATTGTTTTCCCCAGTGGGCCTGGCTCTTCTTTGGTTCTCTAACTTTACATCAGCTTTCTTGGCTCATTAACATTATAAGTGACTGTTACCGCAAATAGTACACCACTCCTCTTAGTGCCAACCATCAACTGGCACTGTCGTCTTGCCTTTTAGTTAAAATTTCCAAGAAAGGGAATTTAATCCCCATTAGATTATTTTAATATTCCTGATCTAATTATTCATGTCACTAGCTATCTCATGACTTAGGCCCACATAGTAGCAATTGTATAGCAGACAGGCAATATTGGGAATACCTATTTCAGAGGCGAGTATAGAGTACTATAGAGCATGTAGAGGGAACATCTATCCAGTCTTGGAGGGTCAGAGAAAGTGCTCCTGAAGTGACATCTAAGCTGCGACCTGACAGATAAGTAGTATTTAGCTAAGCACAGAGGTAGAAAAAGAAAGATACTATTATAAATAGAGAAAACAGTAGAACAAAGGCTTAGTTCAGTATGATTGAAGCATAGAAGTCCAAAGGATAGTTTCTAGACATCAGTCCAGAATGATCTGGAGACGTGGCCAAGGGTCTAATCAGGATGGCATGATATAACATTATGAAGAGTTGGAAAGGTTTCTTATGGCAGCAGTGGAGCAATTAAGTTCATCTTAAAGGAATTAGGCAAGAAGTGACCTGCTGCCAGCATTTGAAGAATGAGCTCGAAGCTTCAAGACTGGAGATAAGGAGTTTATTTTATTGATACAGACAGGAAATGATGGTGACCCTACCTCAAGGAATGACATTAATGATAATGAGGACTACTTGACATAAGATAGAGATTTATTGTAAGACAGAAGGAAAACCCAAAGAGGACAACCAAGTTTCTGGCTTAAGAAGATTGGATTATGAATGATTGTATCATTTACTGAGAAAGATAGACAAGAAGAGTCAGAGAAAGTTGATAAGGAAGAATAGCATTGTTTTCCAAAAAACTTCTCAACATATTCCTTTGAATAGAAACCCAATTATCTGGTCCCCAATTTAAGAACTCATAACTTATATACAATACACAAATCTAAAAATAATAATTAAAAATGCTATTTGTTGTACATAAGTTATTCTCATCAAAAAGAAAAAAAGTTATTACTGTTCTTTGTTAGACATTCTACTTTAGCTTGGATGCAATAAGATTTCTGCGATAAAAAGAGCATCTGCTAGGATTTTCATCCAATCTTTCCTTTTACTTACCAATAATACCTAGCAGGGCTATAGAGGAGCCAAGATTAGACTGATTTTGAGCTTTCCTGTGTTCTGAAACAGCTGAAAGAATTTTTACTATATATGTACATTTGCAATGTATACTTTTCAGTACTATAGCAAAGAGACAAATTGAAGACAATTAGGACAGTTGATCTACTGGCATAGATATATTTGGCATTCTTT